TTCAAACACACATCTCAGCAATCCCAGCCTCAACAAATCCGCCCTGCCCCGCAGCTCCGCCGTGGCACAGCGTGCATCGTCCGGCTCCTCGGGAGCCGGCGCAGGACTGGCCGCATGCAGACACTGAGCAGTTCACACTCAACTAGCCAGTCATTTTGCATGGCTGGTTTGGGTTGGGGTTCCTTTCTTTCTTTCTTCTAACCAGCCTTGCAGAGCGTGTTGTCTGCAGTCAGTAGTTTCCTCGAGCCACCTCAATGACACAAGTCTAGAAAAAGTGGAGAAAGGAAAGTTAAATCTGCTGGCCCGTGTTTTGAGAAGAGCAGAACCTCCTGAAAAGGTTTCATTGCTGTAGAAGAGAAACCTTAAAATCCTGACCAAAGGCAGCAAAACAGGGCTTGGAGACAGCCAGGTCAGAATTTACCCAGATGTTTGGTTTGGCCACCAAACAGAAAGATCTAACATTTGTTTTGTTCTAGTGCAGCTGAGTTGAGACATCCAAAGAAAACTGATGGTTTCCCATTAAAATCACCTTAAAAGGAAAGAAATTTTATTAAGCAAAGGAGAGGAATAGCCAGCATGATCCTATATAGCTTGTACCCAAGGAGGTGGAGAATCCTCCAACCACACTCTGAGCCCGGACTGCAAGCCCAGATCCTACCCTGATCCATCCCTTTTCAAGTGAGATCTCTGACTAAAACCTCTCCCCTCCCTCCTTTAGTAGTATTGACCACATCACAAGAAGGAACTTGTTTTTGAATATAATGTGGGTTGTGGAGCCGTCTGGCTGCAAGGAATGAGTGTTCACAGGAGGAACTAATTACTGGCTAATTTCTTACCTGTATTTCTCCACAATTTTCTCTGTGGAAGCCTCTTTGGGTATCATTTGTTCCCACCTGCCATGCAAAGTGTCTGTCGACTTCCTCGGGCTGCAGAGGCAAGGCTGAAAATAAAGCCTTGGATTTCCCACCTGTGCAGCCACTTGGCTGCCTCCTCTGTGCACTGGGAGTAATAAAGATGTCGTAATAATTATAGTAAATGGTGTGCTCAATAAAGAACAGAAAGCAACGTATCAGGAAGAGAGCTGGCCCATCCCGTCTGATCCAGGGGTCAGAAAGGGGAGATAAAACCACTGTGCTTTCTGGGAGCTGGATACGTAGCTCGAAAATTGGATATTTGAAGGAGGGAAAAAAAAAAAAAAGCAAGTGATGTCTGATAACGATTCCCTGAGTAATGGTAAAAAAATGCAATGAATCTACATCCACTTTGTCAGACCACAAAAATGCAACTTCTGTCTTCCAGGAAATTCTGAGCTAGTTCAACATTTTTTTTAACACCTAGGGTAAAAAGCTGAAATTAAACAAGCTGGTTGTTGTTTGGGTTTTGGGATGTTTTTTTAAGTGGGGTATTCCAAACCATATCTTTCTGATGTGGCTGGGGACTTCCCAGTTTGGCTCTGTAAGGAAATCACCGCAGAATAAAGCAAAATTCCTTCTCCTGCCTTATCAGCAAAGCAGGCAGATTTGCTTCTGAGATGTCTTTATCTGCATATTTCGTAGTACCAGGTGATTCACCTCCAGAGCTGTATCATTGCTGGGAGCTTTCATCTGTGCTGATGCTTTGGCTGTTTGAACTGCTTACAGAGTGAGTGGGACTGGGATCACCGTGATGCACCCTGCAAGCTCCTCTGCTGCTATAAATGCCGAACCTTCTGCACTCACCAGGGCTCCTGCAATCTCTGAGATCTTTAAAGCCAAAACTATGGTATGTACTTCCACATCTTGTGCCACTCCCGCTGCATCCCCAGTGTTGTCCACCACCAAGGTCTCCATAGGCTTCTACAGAGATGAAAGAGGGTTCTTGTTCCAGCAAAGCTGTTCAGATTTCTTGCTGTTGTTACTGATCCAAAGGCTGGATGGGTTTGCTTTTGCCTTTTCTGCTGCTTCTGAGCTAAAAAGGCTTCAAAGACCCATCATCCGATGCCAGACCGCAGAGGTCTAGCATCTTTAGCTCATTCCAGGTAGGGAGAGAAGATGAGGGCAGAGCTTGAAAGAGCCCGTCTAGTGGCAGACTTTGAAAATATCCCTTAAGTTGGGCATGGCTGGATGAGATAAATGTCTTTTGAGCCTGCATGGGTTTGTTTGGCTAGTGGTAACTGGTATCTGCTTTTGACATGAAAACACACTACAGAAACTATCACACGCACACAGAGAATAATGAGCAAGTGAAAAGGCTTAAGTGACCATCTCGGCTTGGAGAACATTTCCTTGTTCAATGTATTCCACTCAGGTTAATCACCAGTTCAAACATTCACTGCGAAGTGTGTTCTTTCAGTTGATTGCTGTGGTTGTGCCATCTCTTCTGCCTTGTACTGCAGGGACACGCTGTGGAGATGACTTTCTTGGAGATGACTTTCTCTCTGTTCCAGTAAGAGTCCTACTGGAGTGTTGGTTGACTACCGGCTTGATATGAGCCAGCAGTGTGCCCAGGTGGCCAAAAAGGCCAATGGGATACCGGCGTGTATCAAGAATAGTGTGACCAGCAGGAACAGGGAAGTGATCCTGCCCCTGTACTCGGCACTGGTGAGGCCACACCTGGAATATTGTGTCCAGTTTTGGGCCCCTCGCTTTAAGAGAGATATTGAGCTCCTGGAGCGGGTCCAGAGAAGTGCGACTAAACTGGTCAAGGGGCTGGAAAATAAAACTTATGGGGAGCAGCTGAGGGAGTTGGGGCTGTTTAGTCTGGAGAAGAGGAGGCTGAGGGGACACCTGATTACAGCCTACAAATACTTGAGAAGGGATGGTGGGGAGGTGGGGGAAGGGCTCTTTACATTAGTGATGGGTGATAGAACAAGAGGAAATGGGTATAAGCTTAGTCAGGGGAGGTTCAGGTTGGATGTTAGAAAGTATTTCTTCTCTGAAAGGGTTGTCAGCCACTGGAATAGGCTGCCCAGGGAGGTGGTTGAGTCCCCATCCCTGGATGTGTTTAAGAATAGGGTGGATGATCTACTTAGGGATATGGTTTAGTGGGGATTAGGGACGGTTGGACTGGATGATCTCTAAGGTCTTTTCCAACCTAGAAATCTATGAATCTATGAATCTACCTCTTCCTCCTATTCCCACATTCTTGTCTTGGAGTATTTAGTGCAGAGAGATGTTTTAGGAAAGGGTGAGTCACCCTTTGTAGACTATAAATTATTCAAGGTGAGTGGGTCAGTGCGATAAGGCTGTCTTTTTTGAAGATTAAATTATGGCAGAAGCATTCCACCCTGGACAGGATGGTTGACATGGAAAATGCTGGTTATAAAGAGTGGTGACGTATTTGCAGGAGGTTGCCCAACGCAGGAGTAGAGTCACTCCTGTCTTCATACTGCTCTTTTGCAGCACACCCAACACATGCTTGGTTTTTGGAGGGGGCACTCTCCGAGTTGCACATCTGTCCCCACAGATGATGGCGGAGACCTGGCCCATGCGCTTAGTCTAGATGGATTTGCTTCTTCCCACTTTCGTCTTCATCTCCTTAACCATGGTAGGCTTTGGCTTGGAGTGCTTGAATTGGTCAGCTAAAACATCGAAACCATAACATTTCATAGAACAAAATTACTGGACTGGTATTTTTAAATTATTAATATTTTTTCTAAAAGAACTGAATGGAAACATTTCTCAATTATCAAGAGGTTTTTGCTAGTTATTTTTAACTGACAGAAATTCCAATTCCTCAACTTAAAACAACTGTTGGCTTGAGATAATTCCTATTAGAAAGGAGAGAAAAAAAATAGTTAAAAAATCCTCGAGATTTGAAAAAATATGTGGGCAGGAAAAAAATCAATTACTTACCAGGAAATGTTCCTAAGCTTGTAATACAAGCTTTAATGAATAGTTTGAAAAGCATTTGAGATGAACTTTTCCCTTTTGCTACTGTGACAAAATCTTAAAAGCTAGCCTGTTCAGCTGTAGCCATAGAGAAAAAATAAATACAGCCTTCGTTTTCCTTTTTGGTTTGCTAAAATAACAGCTAAGAGTATTTGGGTGTTGGCTCAAACATGAGAAGGAAAGGAGCTGCCCTTGTTTTGGAAGAGGTAGTATCATCTTCCTTTCTTCTCTCTATTATTCAGTCCACCAAAAGATAATTATTCTGCCACTGAAATTAGACAGTCGCCTACTGCTTCCTCAGTTGAGATGGGAGAAGTCACCTTGCTAATGTGAGGAAGCTATCTCAGACTGCTGTCTGCAGTTCACCCCTGAAGCAAGAGAATGTGGCACTGCAACCAACAGACCAGGCTTGTGTCTTCTCTTATCTGGGGACACATTGGTGTCCCAACTTTAATGGTCAGGAGGGGAAAGCTCTGAAAAACCTGGAGCTTGCTGGGCTTTCACCCGCTTCGAGGCTGGGGATGTCATGCAAAGCTAGTTCCTGTTTTGCCAGGCCATAGAGGGAGATCAAGAAAGGGCAAGACCAACTGGTCGAGTCAACCAGCAGCAGCTGGTGAGGACTCACCCCAGGTCCCAAAGGTGTAGCCTTCTCCACCTCCTCTTTCTCGAGCAACCGTCTTTTTTAGCAACAGCAAAACCCAATGAAATGTGCCTCTGAAACAAAGCCAAGCTGAATCGCTCTGGCCATGGATTGTGACAGGATGGCCGTGCCTCCTTGTAGCCACAAGGAAGATCCGGACTTGGAGCCACAGTGGTTCCTGGACAGCATCCTGTGCACGCCACCCAGCTGTGGCCCGGAGCAACGTCTTGAAACTGCACAGGGAGTCGGTGACGTTCAGACAATTGACTGGAGCTGCTTAATGTCTCAGCAGGGACTCTAGGCGTTGGGCTTGCCTTCTTTCCAAATCACGTTTGCAAGTGGTGAATGCATTAAACTCAGATGGAAAACCACCCACCTAGGTGGGCTCCATCTCATCTAACTGCAGCCACTTAGACGTTATATCAAGTGCTGAACCGGGTTTCCTTGTTTGAGAGAGGGGCTCAAGTGGAGGACTGTCCACCTCACCTAACCAGTCTGACATGCCGATGGTCAAAGTCAGATGAAACAGTTTCTACGCTTAGCATAGAAATGACATCTCATGCCATTCCTCAAAGGTGCTTATCTTCTTTCTTGCATCAGTCTTTAATATTCACTTTTTTTTAGGTTGCAATTAGAATTTTGCCCTGTGAGAGCGAGGAGATTAGTGGTGCCGTGTGACCTGTAATTCTTCATGTGCTGGAGACAGGAAAGAATTCACCGTGATAACAGTGTCTGCGAATCCCGCAGATGCAGGCGGGTGCGTTCACCTGAGCACACGCGGGCGTCTCACACGGTGATGCCTCCGCTTGCGCTCATACCCCTGCCCCGGGCTGCCCGCAGAGCCGCGAGAGACCTCATTGGTGCTTCGGTAGAGCCTGGAGCTTGGTGCACTTCATGCTAAACTGGGTGCCTGTGTTGGGTCAGATGAATCACTCCATGGAAATGTTGGTTTCTTTCCGTGAAATGAGCCCCCAGCAACCAACTCACGTGTTGAGCTCTACGTGAGAGACTTGAAAGCTGAGACAAAGTCCATCCCACCCTGTTATGGCCAAGACATCTCATAACTTATCCCTTTGCCTTTTAAGTCATACAGGGTAAATGCTACACTTCGTCAGCTGCGATGCCGCTCAGGCAAAGGTTTTTATGTCTGAAATACGTATGGCTTTGGCAGAGCACAGCCTTGATCACCAGCCCATGGGGCCCAGAAGGTCAGCATTGGCATCTGTCTTCATTCAGCTGCTGTGACGTGGAAGGATCAAACAAACAAGTTGTTCTGAGGTTGCAGCAGGGAATGAAGCTACAGCTGGCAAACTTGTCATAGAGGACATCTTGCGGTAGCATTTTGGGGGGTTTCTGGCAATCTTTGGCATCAGTTGTTACTTGGGCTATAAAATATCTTCTAGGTGATGTGACATAAAGAAGCAAACCAAACAGAATAAACACCATTGGGCTGTCCGGGTATCTGAGTCCCACTGTTCTCCAAACTGCCTAAAGAGAATCAAAAGGTTTGTTTGGTCCTTTCTTGCCCCATGGACATACAGAGTACAAAAAAGCACTTCATCCATTTTTTAATTTCTTTAAATACTGTCTGTGGAAAAATTTAGAGACAAACCGTGTACTTTCAATGCAGTTTATTGAAGGCGCAGTGGAAAGCTGGGAAGTTTGAGCAGTCAATGAAAGAAGCTCTGTTCATGTGAGTACAAGATGTCAGCTCAGAAGATTTATGCACCAATAACTTCCCTTGGTGTTTTGGGTGCAGGGATGGGAGGTGAGCTCTTCTAAAAATCAGCACGCTTTGAACTAGCCACCCCTAACATGCAGAAGCAAATGAAAGGACTACATATTCATCTGTAAGCAAATTCCACAAAAAGCCTATGGCTGCAACGTAACTAGCAGGTGCTTTGAAAGCTGAAATTGCCTTGTTTAAAATTTAAGCTCAAATTGGCAGCTCAGGGTTTCTTCTTTGGGGAAAAAAAAAAAAAAAAGGAGTGTGCTCTTTGCAGTGCCTCCTGGGAAAGTTAAATCATCACTCTCTTCTCTGAAATGCTTTGGGAGGAACTGGAAGAAAAAGAGGTGTCTTGTAAGGAGAAGCATTGTTAATGAATCTGTTTGTTATGGGAAAAGCCAGAGAGAAAAGGCAGCACAAGAAAACCCTTAAAGCTGTGATAATATGGACAGTATAAACTCAGAGAAATAATACTGTGTTGAGCACCTGCTGGAGAAGCTTGTGAGATGTGTGTTTAGTGCTGGGGACTCAGAAAACATAACTTGGTGGGGTATATATCTGATGCTAATAAATGTGAGAGTGGTCTTGGTGACAAATGTTGCTACTCGTGGGCAGAGGAACCATCCTGCATCATCTCAGTGGTAGGAACTTCGTGTCAGAGCGTTGCCCTCCGACACCGCTGGCTGTGCCACCTCCTGGCTCTATGGAACAACGCACGGGTCTCTGACAACCCCGAAGTTCCCCACCACCCCAGTGTTGCACCCCACAACTTCGGGGCTATTTGCAACAACAACAGGAGGGCCCCCCAGCTGCCTGATGACGCAGCCTTGGTTTCCAAAGCTGACCACCCCACCAGCTTGGCAAGCCCCCACCCGAGCACTCAAGCCCCCGTTGCCCGTGCTGATGACGGTGCGGGCTGGGTACCCCCCACTCCGGGAGCTGAATCCCCCGTTTTTGCAGTTGACCCCTCCGGCTTGGCAGTACACCTCTGGGACACACTGCTTGGCCACTGAGCTGATGACTTTCTTGGGGTGGATCCCGGCGCTTCGGGAGCTGAATCCTCCGTTCTGGGAGCCGTGTCGTCCGGAACGTCTGCCCACGGAGCTGTAGCCACACACAGCCCCGGTTGCAGCCAGCATCCCACAGTCATCGGGGATGTTGTAGCCGCTGCTGACCACGGCTGCAAGACAGCCCACAGGATTAGTTATTGAGAGAGCAAAACTGGAAGACTCTCACAAGGCAAGTTGTTTCATGAGCGACAGAACTGACCAAACCTGATTTCCTCTAGATTTGTCCAATGTTATCTGAACCCCTGCTCCTTCCAGCTCCTCCCCCGTGTCCCAACACATCCCTCACAGATCCTCCCAGTTCCCACGTTGCTCATCTGGCTGGTGGCATGTTCTTCCCCAGGTTCAATGCACGTCGGTGCATTGCCTGGCAGGTTCGCCAGGACAGGCTGCTGTTGCCTCCAAGAGCAGAAAAGGGTCATGAATTTGACCTTCCTCCCCTCCATCCAAAAGCTTATTTTCTTGAAATTCAGAGGTATTTGAGATTTCTGGGACTAGACCTTCAACATCAGCCTGGGCTGAAGTGGAAAAGGGAGGCGGAGGCAGAGGGAGGTGGGGTAGGCATCTAACGCTACTCCATAAACTGCCTTTCCAAAAATGAGAAAGCCTCATGGCTGAAAATGTCCAGGTTACTTACACACGCTCACCGGGTTCCCCACACATATCCTGTCAGGGGAGAGAAGAGAAATGCACATTATCCTATTAACCAGTTGCACATCTAGAAACCTGATGTTACTCATAACTTCCAGCCCTACATCCAGCCCGCTTAATCCCTTGCTGTAACACGTCCGACTGTCCCTAGGACAGGAATTGTTTATGCTGGCACAAGGGTGGCCTGTATGGCCTCCAGCCATCTCTCCAGCCCCAGTTTCTGTGAGCCTGGGAGGATCCTGGAGCTGCAAAATTCACTTCAGAGCTGGAGTTGTTCTGGCCTCTGATACACGGGAGTAAAGGGACAAGGTCTCTGTCACCCACCTGCTCTCTTCACCCTCCAGTAAAGTCTTGTATGTTGCAATCTCTATATCCAGGGCCAGCTTGACATTCAGCAGCTCCTGGTAATCCCGCAGCATGCAAGCCAGCTCATCCTTGGCCTTCTGGAGGGCATTCTGCAGCTCAATGTGCTTCTCTCGGGCATCTTTGAGGGCACAGTCCCCGCGCTGCTCAACATCACAAATGGAGGTTTGCAGGCAGGAGACCTGTCAGAGGGAAGGATAACAGTGCAGGTGTCTTCAAAGGTTCATTTCCTAATTCCTAGACATCCTGGGTTTGGATTAATCTGCTCTTTCAATTGCAAACAGAGGAAAAACCACCAACGTCCCTTCTCTCTATACACTTTCCAACTACAGCCTAGAGCAGTTCTTAAGTCTGCTGCAGGCCAATGTGTCATCTTCCCCCATATCTGAGCTGTCCTCCAAGACATTGCCCTTTCTGGAAACGTGACCTCTGGGCCTCTCCTACCTGCTTCTTCACGTTCTCCAGTTCACACTGCAGCTTCTGTATCATCCGGGTTAGCTCTGAAATCTCACACTTGTTGCTTTGGAGGTCATCGCAATACTTGCCTCTCTTATCCTGAAGCTCCTGAAACTGGAACCAAGAAACAAGACAATCGTCGCTCCTGACCTGCAGCCTCTTAAGTTGCCAGGCAGACACCCAGGTTGCCTCTTACTCACCCTGGTTTGGTAGAAAGCATCAACTTCTTCTTTGCTCTTCTGAGCAATTTCTTGGTACCAGCATTCAACGTTCTTGATGATGCTTTCCATGTCCAGGTCTCGGTTGTTGTCCATTTTCACGATGACCGAAGTATCGCATAACTGACGATCTACCTGAGCTCGTTCCTACAGGTTGGGGAATGGCTTAGTCAGCTGTTAGCAATTCTCAGACTTTGTAGAGAAGGAAGGGCTGGAACAAAGACTCAAACTGCTCAGCTGATGGATGTAACAAGTCAAGAATCGTCCCTCAGGTTGGATCAGCAGAAAATCCTCCCCACTAGATGAGTTGCCACATGTCAGCTGCTGACCTACATGCTGACCTGCAGCAATTCTGTCCACATCAAGGGCAAGGAATTTGAGTGACTTAACCCTTGGTATCCTGTCATCTTCAGCTGCTTTAACTGATGTTAATGACAGGACTGAGCTGGGAGTTTCTGTAGCTCTAATCAGACAACTGCAATCCGGAGTAACTAGACAGACGCATCTCTTTTCTCAGGGGTAGAGTCAGGACACAGCAAATTCATACCTGGAGCTGCATTAAGAAAGGGGGAACCACCCTACTTCCAGCATAATCATGTTAATGCTATATCAGGCTTGTGGTTCCATGCTTTCAGGCACTAAGGGCTTGGGATGAGAGATGTCCAAGAGGGATTTCAAGCTGTAGAAATTTGGAGCACCTGAAGGGTGAAACAGCACTACCAACCTCCTGGGATGGACCACAGAAACTCACCTCCTCAAACACACATTTCAGCAGCTCCAGCTGCCTTCTTAACAGATCCACCTTCACCTCCAGCTCTTCCTTGTTCAGAAAGATACAGTCTGCATCCTGAAAGAGAGGAGACACGTTCCAGCCCAATCTCGCTGAAAACATTGGAGAAACCACAGAAGACAGAGGCAGCACCAATAGAACAGAAACATGTTTCAACAAGATTTCAAGAGCAGAAAGGTGTGAGAGGGTGAGTCAAGATGCCCTGGTGTCTCCTAAAGGAAAACAAAACCTTTCCAAAGTGACTTACAGGAATTAGTTTATTTATTACTTAGGACCTAGCTACAAACTCAGAATTGACTAATGAGTATTTAAACATAATTTTTTAATATTGTTCGAATAATTTCTGCTTTCCTGATGTCCAAATATAAATGGTGTGAAGAGACGATCAGAAAATAGCCAGTGTCTTAGACACCAGGAATTCCAGTGCAGCCTCTCCCACTCTGTCCCCTTTCCGCAAATACACCCTCCCACTTCAAGGACTTGCTTGGGGTAACAAATCTGTTGCCGTAGTGCTGATGATGGAGGCTTTGGGGATATATTATTCTTACTCTCTACATCAGTTTGCCTCTTTTTCTCACCCTCTGCCCCTTTCTGCTCACTTTTGCCGGGCATTTGCTGACAGTGCCCTGTTTCAGCCAAGCTTTGCACCAAATAAATCCATCATAGGTATAATGATTCATGTATGTTGAACTTCTCACCTTTTTGAGTGCCACAAACTCATTCTCCACAGTTGTACGCCTGTTGATTTCCTCTTCATATCTGTTGGGAAAGAAGAAGAAAAGGGCTGAGCCAGGCAATACTACCAGACACACAGACATTAACTATCAGGTATAAATAACAAACCTCCGCTTGCTCAGAGCCTGCCATCAGGCACTGCAAGATAAGTGTCTGGAGACCAAACATTAGACCATCCCAAGATCAGAAGCTTCTTCATGAACAACAACATTAGCAATGCAAAGAGTTTGTGAGTGAGACAGAAGAATGTGACATTCCCAAAGGGGATGTGCCACATGTCTGGGAGATATTGCCTGAGATGAACCAGAGGACAAGTGAAATGCCAACAGCTAGAGGAGACCCGAAGGTCCTTACTTGCACTTGAACTCCTCCACCAGCTGACTTGTGGCACATTCTTCACTACCCAGTTTTTCCTTTTCACAAAGCAAGCAGTCCAGGCGCTTCCGCAGGTCGCAGATGTAGTTCTCAAAGTACAGTTCAAGGTTTTTCCCTTTCTTTGGTAGGACGTATTGCTGCAGGAGGCCCCACTTGGTCTCCAGCACTTTGTTCTGCTGCTCCAGGAATCGGACCTGCAGGCCAAAAAACAGCAATGCTTCAAATGAAGAGACAAATGCAGTAAGTCCACAGCTGGTTTGACTGTCTGCTCTCACTGTGAAACTGCAGGTGTAAGAAAAGGATTTTCGTGAAGTGAGAGGTGATGTGCCACCATGACCATAAAGTTCTCTGTCCTTATTATAGAAATCTAAAAGTCGCATGACTAAATTATTTAGAAATCTGAAAGTCACATGTCTAAATCTGCCTTTCTCATCAATGAATAGAAATAAAGCTCCTCTGGAAGATGCCTCTGCTGTGATTTAGGATGAGATTGAGTCCCAAGATGGTGAGACCAGTTTGTCTCTTTTTTCCTACGAAAGGATCCTAAGGTGACAGTTCAGACTTAGATAGCTAACGTTTAAGTGCCTGAATCCAGATTAACGTCCTCTGCCTTTGAGAATATTTTTGGAACAGTCGTGATATTTAAAGACAAAGAAAGGAAAAGGATGTAATACAGGACAGAAAGATGACCCCCACCAGAGCTGTAACTTCTAGCTGAGCTAAACAAGGCTGCAGTGAGAAATCCAGCCTCTCACTAAGGCCATCCAGAGAGGAGACACCTTAAAGGAAGTCCACAATACAAACACCATCCAATACGCGGACCAGTATGTGGCTGAAATGATCCCTTCCCCAATACTGAAGATACCACTCTGAACCAAGATGGCTCTTGCATGGACCCAGCTCAGTGATTGATGGCATGAGCTGGACTGAGGTTTTCAAGGAGGTTGGTTGGGTTTTATTTTTTCCCAAAGAAGGACAAGTATGGAGCAGGTTTGCACTCACCTTGTCGATGAAGCAGGCAAATTGGGTGTTGAGAGTCTTGATCTGCTCCTTCTCCTGACAGCGTATTTCATGCTCCAGCGGGTCGACCCCAACGCAGAGGGGCTTCAGAAGCCGTTCGTCGATGCAGATACCTTGGATGCCATCAGCCTTGCGATCAGGGTATCCTCTCACAATACTATATCCCCTGGGGCCACAAAGGCCAACCCTTCCTCCAACATTACCGTAGCCTACTCCTGCAAAACCGAACTCTCCGAAACATCCAGTACCGCAGACCCCATTCACGTAGGAAATTCTCCTGTTCCCACCCAGGTTGCAGACGCTTCTGCTGCTATAGGCGCCAGCTCCGCACCGGACGGCCTGGCAGGCAGAGGCAGCATAGCTTCGACCACAAATCTCTGAAGCTGAACTGAAGCCTCTTCGTCCCAGGACAGATCTCACTGTAGGTGCCTGTCTGCTCATCGCGGCTTACTTGAAGGCGGAATATGAAAGTTTAGGGGAAGCTCTTCTGCAGGAGAGGATCAGCGATCCCGCTGAAGAGACACAGTGATGCTACCCCTTATATACATTTGGGAAGCTGGCCTTGATAGGATCAGGACATTAATTTGAAGTGCTCAAGGGTTTGGTTTGCCTGGCAGCAATAAATGCTCCTCAAAATGCAAAACAGCCCAGCAAATACTAACTACTGAGGAAATAAAAAGGATTCTAAAAGTGCTCTGTTTGCAAGTTGGCTTAGAATATATTACGGTTTGAAGTGTTCCCCTAACTTACACTAATTATAGTTTAGCAAACATTTTTGAAGAAACTCTTTGTGATTTGTTTGCAGTGTGTCGTTTGGGGTTTTGTGTATGATGACATGTTTTGCAGACTTGCACTTTGTGGAGGTAATTTCACAATCTCTCCTTTTTTCTCTCACCAGGCTTGTTTTGGGTGCGGAAAAGTAACCAGAAAAAAAGCAAGCCAACCATGGAAAAACACTATGGAAGTCATGTCGTGATGGATGGATCATTTGTGTACCTGAAACACTAACAAACACAGCGAATTCACTGAGTTATGTGTCTGAACTCATATGCAAGGGCTCAGAACGCCCCCGAAAAACATTCCCATGCAGCATCTCACACTGACCTGCTCTCACCACCATGAAACGCCATCAAAACAGAACAGGTTCCATCCAGGAACCATGGCATATTTCAGTTTGCTTACCAGATTTATGTTCTCTGCAGTCAGTGATGTTTTCACTTGAGTAATGCTGCAAATTCTTAACCTGAAGTCCATTTGACACAGTTAAATCTTTGGCCCTCACTGTACTGGGGCTTTGACCAAGCTGGATGTCACAGACCTTTTTGATTCATCGTCTAGTAGTCTCTAGAGGGAACAAAAAAGGAACAGTAGCACATTTCAGCCTGGTGAGATCCACCTCATTCAAGAAGCGACAGCTGAAAGTTGAGTGACTTTGCCAGACACGTCCTTGACACTCAATGGAGATAGACCTCCAAGAGAAACAGCTCCCGGCTCCGTGCTTGGGGGAACTGGGGTGATTCACTCTCCACAGGCACTGGTCTTCCTCCATCAACAGAGGAAGTCTTAATGAGTGGATTAGACTGGACACAAGAGATGGTTTTGACTCACATGGGCAAGATGAATCTCTCTCTCTCTCCTAATCACCAGCCCCAGGAGGTGAGACGGTGAACCTGAGACGGTGAACCAACCTGACTGACATTGGGAAAGTCAAAACAATAGGGCTCTTTTGGCTCTTTGAGACTTAAGTGTTTGGGAGAAAAAGAGACATTATAGTGCAAACAACTAAACACCCTCAGCCTTTCCTAACTGATGGGCAGCGATGCTTGGAGAAGTCTGCATGTTATACATGCAACGTGATGATATCTGGAGATACCCAGTAGCTGTGTTCCCTCATCCTCATTAACCCCCTCCAAAAATATTTTTCAAGAGTTACGATCAGCCGTGCAAATCATAAAAACAGTGCTAAACCTCCTTAAAACATTAAACCTTCTAATACCAAGTGCTTAAAGAAGACATGCGCACCAGAACCGTAGGACGTGACTACGGCACCAAGATTCACGAGGCTATTAATTGAACATGTAATTGCAACTTAGGTGAGTTTGAGGGGCTGGTGGTATAAATTAGTTGTGTAAATGGATACTTTTGCCCTGTACAAATGGAATAATTCACATATTTACAGCATAACTTTCAGATTACACCTTTGTTTGTAGTATGTTAGGCTCAGAGTTCGTACTGGGTTGCCAGCACAGTTGGCAATATTAGTTAAAACAAATATTAGAGACTTCAAGCTGAAGCTTGCAACTTCCCAGATCCTTTAAGTTCTAAACAAGGATTTATCAGAAGCGAAATGCATATTTGAATCCCAAGAAGAGTACAAAAGGCGATTGTTCCGAGCTCTGTGTAGGAAAACTGCACCTTGGACCAGATGTCAGACTGAAGGCTGGTGTGCCACTGCTCCCTTTCTGCACCCCATTATACACGTCGGCTGCGTGGGAGATACCTGGAACGTACCATAGACTGCAATTAAACATCTGTGAACCAACCGTGCTGCAGCAACCCCAAAACACCTCACCAGAGCCACTGTCTTCCTAATAGGTAAGAGATTTTGGGCACAAGTTGCCCAGTATTGGGTAGAACTTCTGTGTTAGCCAAATCCCTATTGTTGCTCCTGAATCCCAGTGAGAAGGCAGCTATGCAGAAGGTTCACTTAGTGTCTTTTAGGTCTTTCCAAGGAACGATGAATGTTTGGCATTTTGATACCTAAGATCTCAGGAATCAACAATTTGTTATTGTGAGTATGGGCGTGGGAAATGGGAGAGTACTCTAAAGCAAAAATCACGTCTTTTTGACTCAAAAAAAAAAGAAGGGGAAGGACCGAGGAAACAAAAAAAAAGGAAAATATTTTGATGAGGGGTTGGATGAGTCATTCTGACAACTTACAATCTCTCCCTTTGTCAGCATTCTGAATGTGCTGCTGAAAATGGAATTCATTATAAGAACATGTGAAGTTCACTAATTTGTTTGTTGCCGCTGGAGATGAATCCTAACGAGCTCTTAAAATATGTTTTGTGCGATAGTCTCAAAAAGCCGTGCTCCATCTCTGTAATTATCGTCAGACACAGAAAACTCATTGCATTCAGATTGGACAATGGCAATAACCCACCTGTGCTAACATCATTTGATGGACGTAAGATTGGGCATGACATGGATTTTTATACACACAGTTTCGTGGACTGTATAGACTCTTGTCCATGTCATTCATGAGATGTTAAAGAATTGATTTGATTAGTGCAGCCTCATTCCCTTGTATCCTAAAGCCAAAGCTGTCCGAGAGAATTCAATCTGGTAATGTATTCTTTCCTCCCATTAGCCTACATCTGCTCTGCGTTAGATGTCAAAGCTGGGATTTTCAAAGGATGTTCCTCATAAAATTCATCAAACACTGGGCCTGGGTGCACTTTCCTCCCTGTTTCAGCCATCAAACTAGCCATGTACTCTAATTTCATCTTTGAGACTCCCTCTGTGGCTAATGGAAAGAGATAGGCATCTCCAGACGGTGATTCATCGCATCCTAAAATAGGCCGCTAAGACAGGTGGGAGGAATCCAGCTCTGGAGGTACTTACCTCTCTTCTTACTGACTACCAGAGGCAGTCTAGACAACCAGAAAACTAGACCAGGCGCCCAACTTCTGGACGGTTAAAGTTAGGTGGAATTAGTCCCACCCTTTGGGCGCCAAATTTCTTTGGCACCTTTGAAGTCTTAATGAGAGTACACAACATCACAGGCTCTCTGGATTTGCTCGGTTCCTGATGTGTGCATATATCATATCTCCGTGCGGTGATTAGCACCTGTAAAGCTGAGGCTTGCAACAAAGCAAAGGATTGTTTTGATCTTCTTCATGTTGATGTCTTCCTCCCACAGAATTGCACAGTGGAAATGCATGTGGGATGTATGGGAATACAGGCTGCTGAATGGGATGTCATCACACTGCCTGTTAAAGCAAAAAGATTAGAAAAGGGAAAAAAATATATTGTAGCTGTTACTTGGTTGCAGCAACTTCCCTATAAATCCAGAGGAGCTCTTATCCCTTCCAGCTGGAGCTGTTTTCTTGGGCAGAAGGGATTCTCTGAGCCATACAGAAGGAATTCCCCATGGAAGTTGGGTCACATCCTCCTGGGACGAATATACAGCTGGCAGGAGATAAGATCTTCCTTTTGTTATGCAAAAGCCCTGGTGCCCAAGCCCGTGTTTGGTTTGGTTTGTGCAGCTTTGTGATGTGCTGCTGGATTTCTGGTGGAACACCCAGCTGGCTCCTGAAGCGCTGATGTTCAGAGAGGCTGGTCACAGGTTTAAAGTAAAGCACTTGCTGAATTTATTTATCTTGGGGTGGGGGGAGAGCGCAATTTGGAGGTGAGAAAGCAGCACTGATTCTGTGTCATTTCCCCAACTTATCTTTCTCTTGCATAAAAAGTGACGGGATCGTCTATTGTCGATGGGAACACCATGACCTTTGTGAGATACCTAAACCCCTCTTAAAGAATATTTATGGCTGCTCTATTGTTCTTTTCTTGTCAAATCTTTCTTGTGGTTTTCTTCATTAAAGATTGTGGCTGTTTTCTTTTGTGATCCTCATGTTTGATTGGGAAATAGCTTCCTATCACAGGAGAAAGACAGGGAGGAGAGAAAGCTCTTACAGTTGTGAATCACGATAATTGCTTCGGGTAGGAAAGACCTCCCCTCTGGATTCCCCCTTTTGTAAAACTCATATCTGTCCAACTTACCTCCATACATTTCATGTCTCTGTTCTGCTCATTGGCTTTCATCAGTTTAATCACAAAACACTTCAGTCCTTTGTGGTTGATTTGTGTCACTAAATTGTTGGCTTCTTTTTTTAATCTGCTCAAATGCACAATAAAATATCTCCCTTTGATCTGTTTTGAAACCCTAAACTGGTAGTTGTAGGATTTCTAAAATGATGCTGAAAAAAGTAACCAAGCACATTCCGGAGGTTTTTTCCTATAGTGACCCTGCTACAGCAGATTTTGAAGAGGTGTAAAAGGTGTTTTGTCTTCACACCTCTGTGGCAGACACATGAATGCAAAAAGATGAGATGGCTTCTCCAGGAATCTTAAAGCACTCACTGAATAGCATTGAGTAGGAGCCAAATTTGGTGCAAATCAGCATAAATTAGCTGACGTTAAAAGGCTTCCATAATTTAAACCAACCGAAGACTGAATCTACATGACACTCTCTGGGCAGCCCTGCCACCTCTGCTTAATTGTTAAGACTTCTAATTAGCAGATACGTCTTGTCCAATTTAGGTCATTCCTGTGTTCTTGGAAACACTAAAAACCAAGTGGCAACACATTTGTTCTCCGTGCAATTTATTGGAAAAAGCAAAAAGTTGAAAGCTCTTGAGCCATCAAGATAGAAGCGAGGGTGCATATGTCAGGACACAGAGCAAGGAAGCTAACAGGAGCACAAGTGATGTAATTACTCTTTGC